GATTGATTTTCCCTCTTTGCCCAGCACTCTACGCCTAACGTCAACATTACTTACCTTATTATACCACTTAACGTGAGAAAGTGGTCGTAGACATCTGTGATCAAAAACAGTCAACCTTTTCATGTTTCCAACTCGTATTGGCCATGTTTCAGAGCCATAGAGAAGGACATTAATGCGTAGTTTAAGATTATTCATAAACTTAAGCTAATTTAATTTTTATTTTATTTTATTGATAACGCTTTTAAACATAATTTATTGTTCATCATCGTAAAACATTGCTTACATAACTTTCATACTTAATCTATATAGAGCTAATTATTTCTCATGGGTTAATTTTATTAGGAAAATTGTTATTTTTCATATTTCTTGTATCACTGTTACGTCATTCTTATAGCACGCTATCTGTAAATAAATAATGCTGACACGTGGTGGAAAAAAACCTATCAGGATGTTACAGAGTGAGAGAGAAAGAGGGAAGAGAACAAGAAGTTCATCAGCGAATGAGATCTTTTCGCTGAAATTATTCTCAAAAGCAGTTGTACAATCACATTTTCAATATACATACATAAGTTTGCATTTCCAACTTGATATGAATGTTCTACGGTGTAATTGAGCATAGATTTTAACAGAGGGGGGAGGCAGCTTAGAAACAAATTGCACACAGGATTAGAAAATTATTATTATTATTGTTCCCTTGGGTTCCTAGTGGAACATGGGGCTTCAACTGCACATCTCCACTTGCCACTTCTGTCTTCTGCTGCTGTACTTTTCACCTGCATCCATGTTAGTCCATACTGTTTCAACTCCTCTCCACACGATCTCCTCCATGTTCCCCACTCTTGGACGTCCCACTCTCCACTTCCCTTTCGGGTTCAACTCGAGGAATTGACTGACGCGCGTACGATGTCACCCAGCGGTCTCCTCAGTAGGTGTCCAATCCATCTTCACTTTCTACTGCATACTTGCTGTTGTTGGACGATTGGTTCTTGTTTTGTTTGTTGCCATAGTTGCACGATATGTAAAATAGTTTGTAACGAAGATTAATGTGAACGGCATGTGTGTAGAAACGAGTTAAAGTAGCCGTGACATGTGCTGATGAAGTGTTCAGTTAGCAGGTTTTGTTGATTGAATCAGTAAATCCCCTTTTTAGCCATTCTAGGCAGTGTTGTGTAACATGTTTGAAAGGGTGCTATCATAACAATCTATATGACTAACTGTGCAGGGGCAGATGATATAATATGCATACACAGTGGAGTAGTCGTATGTGGAAGACTGTCATTCAGATACTGTAAATGAGTCTGAAATGCAGGAGAAAAATGTTTCCCCAGAGAATCTCCAGATCCCTGAAGAAGACTTCTCCTGCAGCAACTCTGAAATTGGTATTCTCTAACCATCCACTACTTCTAAGCAATATGAAAGACAAACTTCCGTATAGGATCATTCCAGAGTGCATATTTCTGTTCATCTGCTCGTGTGGAGTCAGATAAATAGGTCATAAGCATCCTTTCAAAGAAGACGCACTAGTTGAGTCAGAAACAAAGGCAAACTCCTCAGAATGCTTAGACATCAATGACTGATGATTTTCTTTTACTTCAAAAACGTCCGTAACGGTGTAAATATTTTTCTTTTCCTTCTTACCAAATTTGAAATTCTAAACATTCATTTCCATTAAGAAGAAGTTCAGCAACAGAGATGGTTGTCTTTTCAGCGATTTCATTCTCAAAACCAGCTGTACGATCGCATTTTCTTATACATAGCTTTACATAGACAAACTTATTAATTATCTAATTCCACATCATAATGACGAAGGAGGAGATCAGGGGTGATAATAATTTTCAAATTATTCCATCATATAAGTGAGTATAGATTATAACAGGAGGGAGGGACTTAGAAACAAAATTACACAGGATTAGAAAATAGTTGCATAATATGTAAACATAGTGATTGGAATGAGCATGGAAACAAATTGATATAACACTGGTTCATTTATTATAACTGAGATGAAAACTAAGGAATCAAACCAAACTACATCCTTGGTAAATGTAGAGGTTCGACTAGTTCCTTTTGATCATACACCTACGGCTTTCCCATGTATACTCGCCAATGATATTGAATGGTTCCAGTCGCGGTAAAATTACAAACTAGTAGAAGTTTGAATTCATGGGCTAGCCATTGAATGCAGTCCCAAGGCCTGAATCACCTTATTTGTAGCTTAGTTGTCACCAGAAGGTCATGGGTCCGAAACCCTGTAGGGGATGCTTGCTATTGATGAGTTCCAAACTAGGACGAAGCAGTTTTATGGCAGTACTCCATGTTACTGGTTTTCAATGGCTGTCTAACTGATATCAATCAATCCATGATCAGACCTGAATGAAAAATTAAATCAAATCTCTAATAAACTAACTGATGACAATTAATCGGTTATTATTGTCTAGTGATAGTCTGTTATGTGACAGTGTTTCGTGTTATCCTGTTTCATTCTAGTCAATGATTACTAGCGTACGTCGCGTAGACGCTAGTTAGGACCTAATGTCATGCATTTGGTCCTTTTTCAGTCCGGAATGGATTCTGTCAGTCAGGTTTACATTATGACTATCATATTAGGTGACTCTGCATCACTGTGCACTATGAATTTTTGTTGTTAGATGGCTGGAGGAAATTGGAAGGAAGCCGTAAATCCAAGTTCCATGCTAGCTGGCACTCATCAGTCAGCAGGGAATTCATATGTCTTCTGAGATTCAAATTGGGATGTCACACTCTACTGCAGGCAAATATATTACCACCCGAGCTATTCGGGATCGTGATTGCTTCAGACTGGTGGCTACATTGCAAACGTGACTTCATCAGATAAAGGACTAGACACATGACATTAACTACTCACTAGTGTCCAATCATTCAAAGAATCCATTACAGTTTTCAGTGGTTTCGTCTTTAGATATGGAACTGAGTGACAGCCAGTTCGAATCGCATAAAAGAGACATAAGTCCTCTCAAGATTGTAGATAGGCCTTGCTGGTTGATGAGTGCCTCCAAAACTTCTTATAATGATTAGTGTTACCATTTAGTCAGTAGGTTGCCTTAGTGTAAATTAAATACATGTTAGATAAAAATAAAAGTCTACAATAGATTCAACAGTCAATCAGATAAGCTTACAGACTGAAAAACATTTGTTGGATAATTTATGACGAGGATAAATCCACCATTATGTAACCTCACTCAAAATCATTCAGATCTCTGAAATCCCACACTTCAAAAACTGACCTAATTCTCCCCACAATGTCCTACTGAGATGCAGTCACCAGTGGTGTCCATCAAGTCGGATGTAAGAAAAGATTCTCGTCAAAGACACTGTCCGGTGGTTAAGATATATAAATGATTGTCAGAAATTGACAGAAGTTAGAAATTATAAACTGTTAGATTCCACACCACTGAGTCAGTAGTAAAATGAGTTTTTTCTAATGACCTAAATTACCTGAGTTCGATACCTGATAGAGTCATCGTTATTTTGATTTGACACTAGTAACTAGTGTATTGTGTCTAGTCCTTTCTTTGGTGCAGACTGAATTCTATCAGTCAGGTTTGTAATGTGCTCACCATTCTAGGTAGCTCACCATCACGGCACACATTGATTTGATGATATTAGATTGCTGGAGGCAATTCGCCACAGGAAGCCTTCCACCTAGGTTTCATATGAGTTGACACTCAAGAGTCAGCAAGGCGTATCTGCAACCTTGGAGGAACTCATGTCCCTTCTGAGATTCAATCCCCCATCACCGAGTGCTGTAGTCAGAGACGTTACCACTGAGCTATTCGGGCTCGCGGTTGACCTCCTCCAGGACTGTAGTGAATATTTTGATCTTACACTAGTAACTAGTGTGACGTGTCTGGTATTCTTTTTGGTGCAGACTGAAATCTATCATTCAGGTTTGTAATGTGCTCACCATTCTAGGTGGCTCGCCATCACACGAGACCGAATGGCTCAGTGGTAACTTCTCTGACTGCAGCACTCGGTGACTCGGGTTCAAATCTCAGAAGGGACATAAATTCCTTCAAGGTTGCAGATACGCCTTGCTGACAAGTGCCAAATATCACTAAACCTAGGTCCAAGGCTTCCTGTGGCCGACTGCCTCCAACCATCTAATAGAGTCATAGTCATCTTTTATTCTGAATAGGTCCAAACTGGAAAGAAATAGACGTCAAATAGTGTATGGTTTCTAGTGTTCTTCATACCGATGTCATCTCGTGAAATAGCTTGAAGTAAATCAAAACCCTAAGGGATAAAAACACCTGAGAGTTTGATGTTTACTTTTTTGCAGCTAACAAAATGGTCCGAAATTAGAGAAATCTCTTTTCTAAACTTCTCCCAGATTAGGTTTTGTCGTATTTAATGTCATATTCAGCTAACTGTATACATGGTATATAGACGACATGCTTATAATATGCGACAATAGCTACAATCTCAATTAGTTGACTGCTACAAGAGCAACGGCTTTTGATTAATTGTTTTCTTGCTAAAGGTTATTCTGTACTGCCTGTGGCCGTTTCTCAGGAAGTTAAGCCATATACCTGCAAATCTTATTTTCACACATTAATTTTGCTGTGATTGGTTGGTGAGATCCTTAAGGTTAAGCTTTGTTATCGTTTTTCTCATGACCCTGATTCCGAACGTAACATTGACGTAAACTGTTGTCTACAATTTTGACTTGTTCGCAGCCAGCTCTCACTCATTGACAAGTAATTAACAACTGCTATCCAGCAATGAAATTCACTCTGAGAAAATTGGTAAACGAATTCAAAATTCCTTTTTGTTAAAGTGGGACTAACAAGATGATCCGAGGGAACCCAATGGTGTTATTTGATGTTGTTTTCGGTACAGCTAAGCTTAGTGTTTTAATATTCTTTCATGCTTCTATAATGTTGTATGAATATTAAAATGTTCTGTATTTTGTTTAAATTTTTGAAAACAAAACCCACACACACAAACACACACAACATAAACAGGTGATATTCTGGAAGTTGGATTAACCTCGCCAAGCGGAAATATTCTAGTTCCACATGTTCGTATTCATGCAGATATAGTTACATCGAACAATGGTATATCTATGAATGATTATATTATAAAAAGTAAAGATGCCAATCGAATTGATCCAAAACTTTTACAGGTAAATTGAATCAAATCATTTTTCTTGTGTGTTTTGTTGTTGTTTTTTTTGTTTTTGTCCTCTGGTCACCTTGATGAATAAATCAATATGCTTAAAACTAATTTAAGTGATTGATTCTGTGTATAGTCACCAGTTCTACACTCCCAACTCTCCTTACTTATCCTACTCACAACTAATTAAGTGGCCGGGGATCGAAACCCGGATCACATGAGGCCCGAGTGGTGAGCAGTCCACCGCTGGACCACAAATGTAATCAGCGAAAGCAAATCTTCTATTTTTAAATGCCTCCCTTCTAATTTAGCATGTGTCTTGTGACAAATAAGCTAATTTTGGATACTGTTAAGAGATTTTGCAATAATGTTGAATGCTTCGCGATTTCGTGTGTTATTCTTGCGCAAACGCCATACTGATCTTCTCATTATCGTTTGAGTCATAGAGTATGCGCTGGCAATGTGTCGATGATTCAAAAGTAGCGTGAGAGTAGAAGATAGGAGACTTGATAACACACCATTTATTAAGACCAAACATGTCATATTTATGCATTCCTATCCAAATTAATGTTCGACAAGGTCAGAGAAAAGAGCATAAGGCTAACTACATCGAAGTTTAACTATGTATCAATAAGATGAATCATTTTACAGCCTGTAGTTATTTTATGCTAGAAACTGACCGAGAGCTAAGCAGATTGAAAAATGAGTGAGTATTTTATTCTCAGAGAATGTCCATTTGTGAAATACAGATTATTATTCATCCGGATTCTTAGTGAAAGCATAGAGCCTCAGTGGCATATCAGCATTTTACTCCGGTTTTAGAGACAGTTGCACGATTGACCATCCATTTTAATTTCCTCATCACATGATTTCCTCCATGTCGCAATAAGATGTTCCCCTTCGTCGCCTATCATTCGACTTCAAACTGGAAGGCTTTGTGCGTGATACCATTTAACTGTCTGTTTAGAGTATGCCCGGTCCATCTCCATTTGCATATTAGGAGTTCCTTGTTGTTAATTTTTCCTTTCTGGCTGGTGAGATGATGTTTGTGATAATTTTTCACTTGAATGAATGATTTTGCAGCACATCAATTCTTCATTATTACTAAAATAACCTTTTTCTGCAAGTACTGAGATAGGGAAGGTATTATTTTTCAGTTAAACACTAAACAATTTCATCAAAAAGTGTTGAAACTTAAGTCATAACATCAACAAGAAACTATCGTCAAAGACCACAAGAAAATTCACCCTACCGTGTATGTATGATGATGATAATAGGTCTACTTGTTGATGCTGTAGACTGTAAAGTCGCTCAAGACATTCTCAACACTACCAGTGTCGTCTTCCTACAAGTTTTAGAATTTCTAAGCGTGGGTTTCTATATCTCTCTTCACATTAGCTTCCGTAATAAAACAATTTGGAGGACATTCAACAGCCTTTTCGGTGAGTATTTATAGAAACGTTGTTATAGAATAGAAATAATGAGAGATGCTGACTTTGTTAAAACCGTAGGTTCACTTCGGTAACTCAGAAACCGAATGGTCACCTGCCTTCAGTTATCCAGAATTCAATATGGTAAAAAATCTCCTAATCCTAACAAAATACATCGTGACACATATGAATTAAAGCGGTATAACGCGGTGAATTTATTCACCCATTAGACAGTCATATTTATCACTGACCGCGTTTTCGATACTAGACAGCTGCCCATCCAAACCATGATAGATGGTGTCAAATTCGAATCGGTGACCAAAAACCTGGATAGAACTCAAAGAATTATGTCTTACAACATATTTCCAATTCAATAGTCAGATATGCAAACAGATATAAGGAACACCAACGAGATCGCCCACACTACGACTAGTAGCTGAAGACGTTATGAAAAGATTAGAATTGATAGGCCTACCAAAAATTAAACTGACAATCTTGACACGTTATGTTATGTTGACGATGCATTCGTAATAATTAAAAGAAGTGTGATTTGGAATACACCCACAAACTAATCAGCAATATATTTGAAGACATTTCATTCACCATGAGAGAAGAAGAATTAAGCAGCTAAATTCCATTCTTTGATGTCTTACTTAATCAAGAGAACTAGTACAGCAAATTCGGAAACGCCAATATACAGAATATCCACACATACAGGACAAGTATTTGAATATAACAGCTATAATCCGATGAATCACAGAAGAAACTATGTGCAAAAATTGTTTGAAATAGTCTGGACACACTGTAGTACTCCGGTGTTGAAGAGAATAGAAGGGAAATAGCTACTAACTGTCTTCAGGAAGACTAGTGAATACCCATACGATTTCATCACAAAGTGTTAAAACTCCAGTCATTACACCAACAAGAAACCATGCTCAAAGACCACGAGAAAATTTGTTCTACCACACTTATAAGTAATATTTCTGAAATAATGGCTAGAATATTAAGACCATTTGAGATAGACATATCACACAAGGCAACATTGTCACTTCATTCAGTACTGTGCCGACCGAAGCATGCGACTGCGAACGAAGATAAGATCAATACCATTCACAAACTAAGTTCCATAACGTGAGATAAAAGCTACATCGGGCGAAGTGGGAATCCCCTTTGAGTTCGAATCCAAGAACACATATTATTTGTGAAAAGACATGACATGTTGTATTCTTTCATATCAATGAATGTAGACAATAACGGACACTAATTTCATCGGAAGAATTCAGACATATTGAAACACAGGAATTACCAGTGAATTTCTAGAAGCCTGGCAGTACTCAAATGAATCCCTGATTAATAGACTCACACATTAATGTAGATCAACTTTACCAACAAATAAAAAATATTCAATTGTTGGTTTGTAGGGATTTGATTGGTCTCAGGATTTCATCATGAGCTTCCAAACAAGGACGAAACAGCTGTCCAGTACTCCCAGGTTTTCCAATGGTTCTCTAACTAATGTCAGCTCATGATGAAATCCTGAGAAATAAAAAATAAATCACATGGCAGGAAAGTTTAAATTCCAAGTCAACAAAGATGATAAATACAAATTTAAACTAGTAACCAGTCACAACACAGAAGGCTATCAGAAGATATAATTATATCATCATTCATGCAGACTTCAAATAAGTTCAATTCATACTAAAACGCGTACTAAAGATTTTGTCTAGATGAGGGACAATGAAAGATATACATTTAAATTAGCGAGCTCAAAAAGCACAGCTCAGTCAAACACTGCAATGTTCAATTATCACTCCAGTGACGGATAAGTTATGCCGGTATAAATACAACAGAATGTAGCATCTACATCTGTGTATTTCAGCAGATTGGTTCTAATATTAAATAAGAGTTATTTGTTTATGTGAACATATATCGAAATACGAAAGCCATCTGTGTGTGTGTTTGAAATTCACAGTCAGTTGCCATGGTGACACGTTTCACCGTTTACCTTTATGGATGGTTGGTTTTTTACTTTATCACTGGACAGTTAAACGCTTCAGTGAGTTCACAATGTAGTTTAATTTTCATATGGAATAAAAACAACAACTAGTCACATTATAAACGTTATATTACTTTGAACAAAAACATACCACGGTAGTTAATTCTAACTTGCTAAAGGGAGTCAGTGAAAGGTTGGGCGGTTTAGTTTCTGCTTTTGTAGACAAAAATAAACGACAAATTCTCCTTAATTTGTCGAATATCTATCTATTTTTATCACGAGTGGACATCAGCTGGAGAAAGGCATTGGAAAACCAAGAGAGATTACTGGAAAACCGTTTCACCGCAGTAGTTTATGACTCTTCTATGGTAAGAACCCACTGGCAGGGTTAGATCCCAGAATCTTTCAGTTACAAGATGACCTTGCAGAACATTTAGCCACTGGGATTCACTTCAATGGCCCGCGTACTCCTGCTCCTGTCAACTTGTGATTTTAGAGGGACCAACAACCAACGACATCGAAGAGTAAATGTTCTCCACCCTGACTTAGTTGACCATGATGGTTACGACTTCTCATCGTAATTAGTCTGATGCTCACTAGTGACTGGCACTGTATATAAAGTGGTTCCCTGGAGTTCTAGTGAGAAATCTTCAGGACACTGACTGGTGGTTGAGCCGCATATATCGTGGATTGGCAGAAGTTGGGATCGATAAGCTGACCATTGTATATGATCCCAGTGACTGGATAGTATACTTGCTCACACCGTGACCGGAAGGTAGCAGGTTTTAAGCAGAATGGTGGGTTCGTATTGATGAAAAGTCCCGAGCTCAAACTAGGACAAAACAGGTGTTCTATACTCCTAGATCTTCCACTGGTTATCAAACTGGTGTCAGCTCGTGCTTAACTTGAAGTAAGTCGAATCCCTACTAAGTAACACTTGAGAATGTATATATCACTCGTTTATTCTGCATCCACTTTAACATCGTTGTTTCTGTGGGGGATAAACCTCGCTGTGTACGCCACCTATATATCTATCATAACATGCACCACACACTTCATCAGTACGTCAGTGGTATACCGGTAAAAATACTCGCAAAACACATACTTTTCCACTGGTTGAATTACAGGCTGATACTCTCCAAAACTTCAAATAGTTTACTAGTCAATGAAAAGCCCGGAGAACAGGGAGTAAATGTTGGGCTGGACGCTAGTAGTCATGCCCTGTGAGAAAAATAATGCTGCTAATAAATGTTTACGTAATTTTCGTTTTTCCATCATTTTTGGCGCGGATAGTACCACATACTTATACTTATACTTATATTCCTTCACGCTCCGAGTTGAACTAGAATTTACAGCTTTGTAGTTTTGGTAGTAGCAGTTGTTTTATTTTCACGGGATAAGGATTGCTAGCTTCAGACCCAACCTTCCCTCCTCACCGGCCTTACTATTGGTTTTGGAGCTCTTTGGAAGGGTTTCAAGCCCTAGGCCTTGTAAGGCATGGTTGGTGAGCGTTTTGCCGCTGAGGGTTTCGAGTTGTACATAATACTTCAAGTTTTTGAACCCTCAACATACTTGACGCTGTTT